CCGTGCTTCAAAATCGGAACTGATCTCGCCACAGACGTGGAAGCGGAGGAGGACCCGTCACCCTGTGCGTCTTCTGGCTCGGGGCGTGCATGCACACTGAACCAGACCGAGTGCCGCGGGCGCTGGGCAGGGCCCAATGGAGGCATCACCAATTTCGACAACTTCTTCTTCGCCATGCTGACGGTCTTCCAGTGCGTCACCATGGAAGGCTGGACAGATGTGCTCTACTGGGTGAGGTGGATGGCGGGCGCACAGCGCGAGACTGTACCTGCCTTTCCTCCGAGAGTGTCTGCATATCCTGAGAGATGCATGCCCTCTCTCTCCCCAGATGCAGGATGCCATGGGGTATGAGCTGCCCTGGTTATATTTCGTGAGTCTCGTCATCTTTGGGTCCTTCTTCGTCCTCAACCTTGTGCTTGGTGTCCTGAGTGGGTGAGAAGCTTAGACACCTTCGCCAATAGTCCCTTTCCCATTTTTTTTGTTCCTAGCACACTCCTAGGCACTCTTTCAGAACCCCTGAAATACCCCTTCATGCAGTCAGTCAACATTGAACATCTGTGTGCAAGCACCATTTTAGGAATGGAATAAAAGACAAAAATCCCTGTCTTCTTGGATATTACACTGTGGTGGAGAGAATAGGAACATACACAGTAGATTGTGTATACACCCATGCGTGCACACCCATAGTGGTTTATTTTTATTTTTGTTTTTTATTTTAAGTAGACTCCACGCCCAACATGGGGCTTGAACTGACAACCCTGACACTCGTGTGCTCTACCAACTGAGTCAGCCAGGCGACTCACATATGTAGTGTTTCGTATGGAATCTGTGCTATGGAAAGAAAGGATGGATAAAAATAGAAATGGGCAAATCTTGCAATTACAAATAGGGACAAGCAGGACAGACCTCCTTGAGAAGGTGTTATCTGACTAGAAATGTGACACAGATGAGATAATGGGCCATGTGGATGTCTGAGGAAAGTGTTCCAAGCAAAGGGAACAGCCTTTGCTTCTGCAAAGCTAGAATGTGCTTGACCTATTCAAAGAACAGCAAGGAGGCTGGTGAGGCTGGAATGGTAAAGGCATGGGAGCCAGGGTGGTCCCCCCTCCCAGCCTTCTATCTTCCTCCCTCAGAGAGTTCTCCAAGGAGAGGGAGAAGGCAAAAGCACGAGGGGACTTCCAGAAGCTTCGGGAGAAGCAGCAGTTGGAGGAGGACCTCCGGGGCTACCTGGACTGGATCATGCAGGCAGAGGAGCTGGACATCGAAGAGTCCTCAGCTGATGGCAACTTTGGTTCTATGGCTGAAGAGGGCCGGGCTGGCCACCGTAGGCAATCCCAGTCTGGCCCATTCCCTGCCCCACACATGCCTCAGATGTGGGCTACCCTCCTGAGACCCAGCCCCAACCGGCAACGACTCCAGGCCCAGCCCCCAGTTCTGACCTAGAATACAGACCCAGACGCAGACCCCAATACCCTTCCCAGACTGTACCCAGAACAAAGATTCCAAATAACAGCCCCCCTGCCATACGCGCACGCCTGGCCCTAACCCAGCCTCAGGCCATGCTCCCCAAATGTCCTCCCCACCCTGCAGGGCCACAACTGGCAGAGCTAACCACTAGGAGACGTGGACGTCTGCGCTGGTTCAGTCACTCCACCCGCTCCACACACTCCACCAGCAGCCACGGTGAGAGTCCATCCAGGTTGGGGAGGGGGACGGGATGGGTAGACAGAGAAGAAAGCCAAGTGTGGAGCCTTTGGGTCTTCACGGACTGACCTCTATTCCCACCCCGACCACAGCCAGCCTCCCAGCCAGTGACACTGGTTCGATGACAGAGACCCCAGGCGATGAGGAAGAGGAGGAGGGGGCTCTGGCCGGTTGTACACGCTGCCTGTGAGGGCCCGCAGCCCTTAACCCCTGACCCAGCCCAGAACCCCGTCTAGACCCTGACCCCAGTCCTTACTTTACCCTCAAACCTTGATCCCAGCCCCCCACCTCCAACCCCAGCCACTGACTGCCCCTGGGTCCTTTATGACGCCCACCTCCCATCCTCCTCTTTTCCAGAAACAAGATCATGAAAACCAGGGTCTGGTGAGTTGGGATCCTTGGACCCCATGACTTTGTAAACCCCACCTCCGAGTCCCCCATGACCACCGGGCTACCCAACTGAGCACCCCCAGGCCTGGTTTAGGTAGGTGATTTCATCAGTGGGCTCGCATTTCCCCTCAGCCGCCACCTCCGCAGAGCCAATCGGAGCCTTCGGGCGCGCTGCCGGCGGGCGGTGAAGTCCAATGCCTGTTACTGGGCCGTGCTGCTGCTCGTCTTCCTCAACACACTGACCATCGCCTCAGAGCACCACGGACAGCCCGTATGGCTCACGCAGATCCAGGGTGCGTACCTCCCCTCGCGGACTGCCAGCCCTCTTCCCCAGTCCCCAATTCCCTCCACCCTAGAAACCCAAGTCCAGGATCTCTAGGGTTCCTTAGACCCCCAGACATTGCATTCCTGCCCTAATAAATGCAGAAACCTTAGCTTGTCCCACCCCACGTTGTAGCTTACACTTATGTAGCACTTGTGTGCATCAAGCTCCATTCTCAGCACTTTACATGTATTAACTCAATTTCTCCTCACCAAAACCTTGTGTGAATTAAATGCTAAGGCACAGAGTACTGAGCACTGAGGTAGTGAGGAGTTCACTGATTAATCCCAGGACTCAGCTAGTAAGTGAGTCAGGCAGGTGGCTCCAGAGTCCAGAATCTTAACTCCACACTGTCTGGATGGGTTAAACCCTCCATGTCTCTGTTTCCCCATCTACAAAATGTGGACAATATGGGGCACCTGGGTGGCTCAGTAGGTTAAGCATCCGACTTCGGCCCAGGTCATGATCTCAGGGTTCATGATTTCGAGCCCCACATAGGGCTCTGCGCTGACAGCGCAGAGCCTGCTTGGGATTCTGTCTCCCTCTCTCTCTGCCCCTCCCCTGCTCACTCTCCATCTCTCTTTCTCAAAAATAAATAAATAAAACTTTTTTTTTTAATGGGGACAGTAATTTTATCTGCTTCATGGTGTGGTTGGGGGGGATTAAGTGAGTTGAAGTGAAAGGTGCTTAGAACATTGCTGGACCCACATAGAGTGCTATTAAGTGTTAGCTCTTACTATTACTTGTTTTCACCTCAACCCCAACCTGAATACTGAACACACTTCTCACTGCAAGCCTCAAACCAGCCTCAGTCCCAACTAAACCCCAGACTCCAATGCTACCTTTGAGTTGGAGTTTTCCTGAACTCATGGAGACTCACCAAGGCCCCCACCCCAATTCTGCCCCTCACCCCAGTTCTGAGCCCCTCAAAACCTCACCCACTCTGACCTATAAATTCACCCCAATTCCTAACCCTAGTGCTACCACCAACCTGTGTCTTGCCTGATACCAGCTACCTCAGATCGCCCTGTGGCCCCTACCTCCCTGCACATCTCCAAGGAAATTGGCCAGTTCGGTCACCTCTGTCCTTCTCCCCACAGAGTATGCCAACAAAGTGTTGCTCTGTCTGTTCACGGTGGAGATGCTTCTCAAGTTGTACGGTCTTGGCCCCTCTGCTTATGTTTCTTCTTTCTTCAACCGCTTTGACTGCTTTGTGGTCTGTGGGGGCATCCTGGAGACCACCCTGGTGGAGGTGGGCACCATGCAGCCCCTGGGCATCTCAGTGCTCCGATGTGTGCGCCTCCTCAGGATCTTTAAGGTCACTAGGTGTGTGTGGCGGGAGAGGACTGGGGCCCCAAGCACAGCCCCAACAGCTCCCCCCCCCAGTTCCAGTGACTATCTGCATCACCATTCATTTAGCAAATATCCATTGAGGGCATACTGTGGGCCAGACACCCTTCCAGGTCCTGGGAAACCC